AGTTCCTGGCTCCAGAATCAGCCCTGCCTCCTCGAGGCGCCTCTCGGCCGCTCTTTCGGCATCCATCTGGAACGATCCCATGCCCGGATCCCAAAGGCGATTCCAAACTGGGTGGAACAGAAACCCGCTGGGTTTGCTCCTGGATGCGGAGACCCTAACCCTAACCAGAAAAGATTGCAGGGAGGCAAGATTGGTTGTCCTAGATCTGCCTCCATCAGCTTTCCATGGGGGAGATCTGCTTCTCGTTTAGCATCTAACCGTGCCCCCCCCCCCCTCCCCCCACCCATCATTGCTACCTCTCCTAGACTCTCACCTGCAATCACCAATCCCAGGTTCAAAAACAGGAGGATCCAAGCCATGGTCAGTTTTCCAGCTTCTAATAATCTCCTGGACAGGAATACCAGCTCTGCTTCAGGATATTGGCAGGCGAGGCTGTTCGGTTAGGGTTTATAAGTCCGACACCTGAGCCCAGGTGGAGCCAGGCCACACCCCAGGGGCTGGTCCAGGGGTAGGAAATCTAGCACCTGGAGGCCTGCTGGCTTGGGTAAGAGAATTTATCCCTTCCCGCTTCCTCTGTGGTTTTCTACCTGAGTCTGGCACCTGGGGGTATGGGGCGGGATCCATAAATCCATCCAAAGGAACACCCCCCTTCTAAAAACAGAAGCTGGATAGGGAAGCACAAAGGGATCTTTGCACATCTCCAGGCCATCGCCTTGCTCCTGGGCCATTGCACGCACTGCAACTCCCCACCCCTTCAACGCTGCTTTTCCAACTGCTTTTAGAGACGAGGAGTGAAAAGTAGAGAACGAACCAGCCCCAAAGCTGAAGGAAGACGGATGGAGGTTGTGCAAATAGGCACCCGCTGAATTTCCAAGGGCAATTGTCTGTAGGCAGAGAACACCCATCCAAGCCTTAACCTGTTTGTTTGGTTTTAGGAAATTGGAGTTGGAAAGCGCTGCGGGTTGACTTAATTTAAAAGTCCTTAATGGGCACTGAATGTGTATTTAACGCGCGGCACTTTCCAGTTCCAATTTCCCAAATGAACTCAACCCGCTATGGAGAAAGTCCGGGGTGTGGCAACTTGATTGCGGCGCTCCGAAACTCCCTGGCTTAGCTGTGGAAGACTCACCACTCTGCTCTGTCCGTCAGGAAGTTTCTAGTCCTCATGGGCTGGGAAGGAATTGTAGAGTCAAGTTGCACCCCGGGGTCTGTTCAAAAGCAAAGCCATTTCCCCAAGCAACGTATAAAAACACAATTTCCCCAAGCAACGTATAAGAACACAATTTCCCCAAGCAACGTATAAAAACACAATTTCCCCAAGCAACGTATAAAAACACAAGCTTTTAAAACCTGTCTTTAAGACGCAACGAGGAAACAGAAGGTTTTTAGACTGGAAAATCTGAAACAGTAAATTTCAGACTCTTCTGTCCTTCAGTCCCTTGGAGAGGACAGTCGTTTGTCAAAACGGTCTGCAGGTCTTCGCGGGATAAGCCCTAATCTAAAAGGCATTAAAGTATTAAATACTGCAACAGAAAGGGAGATGAATCAGCCATCCGTGGAAGAAAGTTGAATTTGTCAAGTTAAAAACATGTCACCTCAAAGCAAAAGCAGCAGGCTGTTTAAAAATGTAGCCTGCAGAGTTAAAGCTGGTAGCAATGGATACCAGAAAGCAATTAAAAGCAGATTGGAATGTATTATTATTATTTATTGACGGTTACAAGTAAAATATATTGTCGTAATGTTTGCACTGTTCCAAGAAGTGCCACCTTTTGTATTTAATGGGTTGGGAGTCTATCCTCTGCCTCCTCCACATTATTATTATTATTATTATTATTATTATTATTATTATTATTATTATTATTATTATTA